CCACTTTATACAAGTGTTTAAAAAGAAAAGAAAAATACTGTAGAAAAATTATAAATGTAATTCTATTTGCCATGTTTATAATGAAAATTATAATAATGATACAAAGCCCTGTAAAATTATTTTCAAATTAAATAAAGATTTTTTTTCTCATCTTGCGGTTTGTTTTTTTTATTTATTTAACGTGACACACAAAAAGATAAGTGAATGAAAACGAAAAAAAAAATGGAAGTAATAAGGGTTAAGAAAAAAATTGAAATAAAATAAATCTGCAGGAAAAAAATAGCTAAGGAGTTTATTAGGGCTTAACAATGTAAACCAATAGTAAATAAAGGGTTAAAAGGAGAACTATGAGGTGAGTGAAAATCACTCACCTCATAGTTCGAGCCGACGTGTGACAATAAGACTGTCACACGTCGGCTCAATAGATCGGGAAGTGAGCGAACACATACCGTTGCTCGCTCGCTTCTCGATCATCTCCGTGCAGAGTGTGGTGACTGTCACGGCTCCCTACAGGGATTCCCCCCTTCCCCGTTTGTTCCTCCAGTCAGCGCCCTAGGATCAGAGAGGGGAAGGGGTGGGCACAGCTTGCTCTGCCTCTAGATAGGCAGAGCCAGCTGTCACTCACGCAGCTGGGTGGATCTCGACAGCATTGTCACGATCCGTCCTGGCTGCGGTGGTCTCAGTATACCGCGAGCTGGAGCTTGCGATATGCTGAGCTTTGGGTCACGGGAGGACGCTAGACTATGTCCTCCCGTAACCCTTAAGAGAACTATGGGGAAAAACACTTACCCCATAGTTCTCTTTTAAGTAGGAAAAAAAAAAAAAAAAACAAACATACAAAAAAACTTGGGATTTTTTTGTGCCACGCCAAGAATGGTCTATTGTCCTGTAAAGCTGATGCAGCCAATGAAGAGAAATAAGAAAGGGAATCACTTTACACAACTAACCTTATTAGGTTTTCAGACAGTTCAACAAGCAGCTCGTCGGGAGAATCTGCAACATGTTTTCTTAAGACATCTTGAATTTCTTCTAAAGACAGAAATGGGATCTCTCGGTCCTTTGGTTTATCTGATGTGGAGGTAGTAACAGTAAAATACGACATCATTAAACATTAGCAGAGCAGCACGACCACTATTCATCAATTTTATTATACCTGAATGGAGGCCCTCGGTGAAGTTGTTTCCATCAATTATAAGACACATTTTATTAGCTTTGAGCATTTGTTAGAAACTTCTAAAACACTGCTGTTGTTGTCTTAAGTTTAATTAAATGGTCATGTGGCTTTACTGAACACAAAATCAACCATGGCAAATGAAAACATCACAAACTATAGCAACCACGTCTCCTTTGTTGGAGTAAACAGACCTAAAATCAATTTGTGCTGAGCACTACAAGTGTATCATAGATCAGAGACTAACTAACGCAAGCAAGCTGAACAAGTTGCTGATATAAAAGCTGAACCCAAGGCAAATACATATAGAATAACTCATTTGTCTGATGTAGGAATTGTGATTCTGTTTAGCCAGTCTTGTGATCCAGATACACCCCTTCCAGACAGCACAGCCTGGTCCTGAACCGTTGTACAAACTACAGTGCAGCTGCTCCAAGGCCTACCCCAGCTTGTGACTGGACAATTAACCACTTCCGGGCGTAATAAGTCTATAGACGGCGGTTAAAACAAGAACACGGCTGCAGCAGCCGTGTTCTTGGTACCGCTTTTAACAGCAGGCAATTGCTGTTAATGTACTAGCGATCCGGCATCTGTACAGCCGCCGGATCGTTTGTAGCGCGCGGTGCACCAAACCCAAACCCCCCCCGCGCTGGCTTCCCCGGGCACTCCTGTCCCCATGCGACACTCGAGAGCGGCTCGGCGGGTCTCCCCGCAATGATCAGAGAGAGATTCTCCTCTGATCACTGGACCCGGGAAGTGATTTTTATTATATCACTTCCGGTGTCACTCTTACAGTCTCCGGCTCTTAGAGCCAGGAGATGAAGCTGGGGGAAGCAGATCTCTGCTTCCTCAGCTTCTTTAGAGTCCCTAGATGATATTAGGGGTCTGAAAGACCCCTGATGTCTCCATAAAGAGGACCTGTCACCCCTTATCTGCTATTACAGAGGGGTGCTTGTTAGCCCCCTATGTGATGGCAATAGGGTTATTTTAAGGCTTGACATGTTTGGTATCTATTTACCGGCGTGACCCCGTCTTTCATATTTTACCAAAAAATTGGGTATTTTATTATGTTTCTGTGCACTAAATTTTTATTTAGTTATTTTGTTCCTAAAAATACTGGTTTGATAAACATTTGCGCAAAAACCGTCCAACATAAAAAATTGCAACTAGCATTTTTTTATTCTACAGGGCTTCTGCTTTCAGAACATATATAATTGTTTGGGGGTCTGAAGCTGTTTGCTAGCCAAAACATTATATTTTATCATGTGTGCTCAAAGAGTAAGAAAATGCCCCGGACAGCGAGTGGTTAAAGCAACACTAAATTCAGGAATTAAATCTTAAAAAGTAATTCAAGTACCTTAACTATAAATAAAAATGTATCTCATTTGTGTATCACTCGGCTGTAGATTCCCAAATAGTCTCTGAATTGGTGCTGGCACTGTCCTTCCTTCTGGAGGGTGGCTACTTTTGTTCCCCATGGTCCCCTGTGTGTGTTGTAAAGTAGTCACCGCTCCAAGCTTGCTCCTGTGATGGACTACAATCTCAATACAAATTAGTAAACTAAATATGACATTGTAATCCATCATGGGAGTGAGCTTGGAGCTGTGGCTACTTTACAACACACGCAGGGGCCATGGGAAACAAACGTAGCCACCCTCCAGAAGGAGGGACAGTGTCAGAATAAATTCAGAGATGATTTGAGGATCTACAGCCAAGTGATATACAAATTAATTTTTTTTTAAACATATATGAATTAATTTTTGAACTGCAAATAGGTTGATTAAGTACATGGCTAATGGAGCTTCGCATGGTGCTTAATTAATTTTTTATCTATTTCATTATATTTTATATATCTCCATGGCTTATCATGTGGTTGAGCCATTAGTGTATTTAGTATCAATCAATTCTGTATGAATTAAGGCTTGGAGATAATTAGTATAGCGGTCCAATCACAACTCTGACAGTTTTGTCTGTCCCCAGCCTTCCTATAGGACACAGCCGGTCCATAGTAGAACTTATGCCCTTCCCTCTGTCAGATGACGGCGTGCAGCTGGAACGCACACCGTACCTTAGCCTCCTTTCCGTTCTGGCCGCTGGTGGCTCCTCCTCCATGATGATGCGCGGCCTTGGGCTTGATAATTAGTATCTCTGAGGAAAAAAAGACAGTATTCTTCTCAGAGATACTTTGTATCAGTTTGTAACACACTAAGCCGGCTCGTACCTCCACAACACAGTGAGCTGCAATCCGGCTCAGTCGCTGTAACGGTTCTGTGATCACAGCGCTGTGACCACCTAATCTGCTGTTATGGCAGTTTTTTATTGATTATAATATTATGCTATGTCACTATTTAGATAGGAAACATGTTTTGTAACTTTGTACTTATAATGCAACTAAATGTGAGCTCCATGAATTATGTGGAAAAGACAGTGGAAGGTAGGTGTAAATTGTTAATTACAACTACCACTGTGCTGTCCTTTCCGAGATGCAGTTCTGCCTAAACGGCACCCAGAGCACACTGGTACTGTTAGCTCAATGATTTCAGCCCCAAAGATTCCTTTTGATGCATCTAACTCCCTTTAGAAAATATGAGGGGCCAGCAAGAAAAAGCACTCATATTGGAAGCATTGAGCCAATGGTACCGGGTTGCTCCAAGCTGTCCTTTAAAAAGACGACTTCAACATAGGGGATTCATAGAATTAGTGACTGCAATTGTGCACAATGTTCATTAGCTACAATAGATGACAAACTAGAAATAAATATTAGGCCTGTTATAAAACAAAAAGACTATCACATAATTACGGGTATGTGGTATGAGAAATGTATTTTACTTGCACTTGTAGTTTGAGTCTCATCATCACTGTCTTCATCCTTTCTGGACTTCTTCTTGGTCTTTTTTATTTTGACCTCCCTGGCATTTCCACAACCACCTCCTCTAATGCTTCCACTGCCCTCTGGTGGAGAATAGAAGTAGAAGAGAATGTAAAAACTAAACAGAACTGTTTTTCCTTAGTACATAGATTGATCCAGCTTTTTAATCTAAGTTCAGGGAGGCTCACCAAGACTGAAATAGAAAAATCTGAAGCATAGCTCTAAACTATTCCTCTATCAAGTGACGTTAACAGTCTATCCCTTTTTCCTCTACAACTGTCCCTCTTTTAGGTTTAATATACAAATCCAACAAAACAAACATTCTATTTTAGGACTGGGAGTATAGCTGCCACTGTGGGAATGTTAATAAAATGTGCATGCTCTGGGTGTCATCCTAAACCTGGCTTCATTACTAAAGGTGCCCATACACTTGCCGTTTATCGTATGATAATCGTGGGTGATCCCGCGATCGTACGATAATCGGCAGGAGTATGGGCAGCGTGCGACCGCTTCTACTGTAAGGTCGCACGACTTTCGTCTTCCGAGCACGCTGGAAAACCTGCCGAAAATCGTACGATTTTCGGTGGGTTGGTGGCGTGCTCAGGAGACGAATGTCGCACAGGCCGGTGTGCGCAAGCGCACACTGCCCGCTCAGCACTGCACTCATTGGAAGCCCTCCCCTCAGTAGGGAGGGCTTCCGATGATTGCAAGTAGGATCTGCCTGTCCAAGATGGGCAGATCGTACGAAATTTTAATCACCTTACAACCATGGCACAAGGAAAGTCATGTGATGGCTGTAAGGTGTATGGCCAAATCTAATACTGGGAACAAGTATCCAGCATGTGAGACATTTTACAGGCAACATGATAATTCCAGGTAAGTGACTCATTGGGTAGTAAAGCCAGGATCAGGATAACAGCACTGGATGCTGAATCTTTAAAGGAGAACTATGAGGTGAGTGCTTTTCACTCACCTCATAGTTCTAGCCGACCTGTGACAATGAAACTGTCACAGGTCGGCTCAGTAGATCGGGAGATGAGCGAACACATACCGGCATTCGCTCACCTCTCGATCCTGTCACGGCTCTCTGTCGTGACAGGGGAGGGGCTGGATTCCCCCCTCTGTGCTCCGATCCGCCAGCGCTGACTGGCGGAACGGACGGGGGAGGGGGCGGGTACAGCTGGCTCTGCCTCTAGATAGGCAGAGCCAGCTGTCAGTCATGCAGCTGGGCGGATCCAGACATAATTGTCGGGATCTACTTCAGCTGCTGCGTCTCAGTATACCGCAAGCAGCAGTTTGACTGCACCCAGGGACCGGTCATCTGTCCAATCACTGCACGTGTGGATACATGCAGAGAACGGTGGACAGCAGCGGCTGTTTGGGACCACCTGTGATTTCAGCCTGCTACCGGCTCAAAAGAAAAGTCTGTGTGAACGAGGCCTAAGAGGCAATGCAAGGTTATTTTTTATGATAAAGCCATGTTTTTCAAGCACTGCTTTTTCAGTTGATAGTCAATAGATGATTGAAAAAGATACCAACAGCTGATAATTCATGTTTTTTTAGCTACCAGCACCTTTAGGAGTGTTGGCAGTTTTTTACTGACTAAGTGTGAACAGGATTTTTGCAATTCCAAAACAAGTCTATAGGAATGCAAAACCAGCTTGAAGCAGGTCAGAAGGAGGTCACTTGTCAATGAATTCTGAATAAGGTCAGAGGTATCTCAAACTGTCATCATCAACACAAGCCCTAATGTGACTGCGATGGTTAGTACCAGTCCTACCACAGTAAGTATACGGTGAGAAGTATGCCGTGCCTATAAACATATACATATTCAAGTATACCCTTCTAACCAACCAGTGTAGAACTATGCTGTGGTGCAAAAGCCAACATCAAATTAGGGTGTACTATTATAGCTGCTTATAAAAAGTGCAACTTTGCTTTTGTAAAAAGGCCTGTGGTCCACCTGCCCATCAAAATTGTCTATACAATTACTTACCTAAGATACCTACCACCAGTGCTTCACACTGCATCAGTCCGCCCATGGGTTCATCTCTATGGAGCCGTTTATCACAAAAGTCAGTCGTGGCTATTGAACATAATGACCATACCAGTACCTAGCTTAGATCAACTGCTTAGGATAGCCATTGTTTTTATGGCTGTTCTTGTACATATGTGGCTCTACACAGGAGGCATGAGCTCCTCAGGAATAAACACTACCCAAGCTCATAAGCTTCCAGAGGCCGAGTAAAACATGAATGGTCTGGAACTGAGCTTTTTAATTATATGGGTGATTTTAATTTGTGAGTTAGGTGGGCCTTTTGAGACACTGAGGCCCTCTCACTGAACAGAAGAACTGCATTCAGCAACATATATTTGTAAAGTCAAGTCCCTTGTAATAAAATGTACTAGTTTCAGGCTAACAAAGATAAAAAGAGGCATTCTGTAGTGTTAGCTTTCACACAGTGCTTTTTGCTTATAACAATTGAAAATGGCTGAGGAGTTCACTTTAACAGTTATCAAACATAAAATGCATTTTTAGGCTTACTATTAAAACTAAGAGCGTGGAAATCTCAAATCATTTCATATCAGAACCACTTAGTTTAATTGCGGCCCTGATTGAAACAGTCTCACGCTGAAATTATTCGAACCTCCCAGAGATATAGTTTCCTGTTTCGATCACACTAGATGATAATAACTGTTCTCCATTTGCATCCAAATTGGGTAGTTTATCTTTAGATTATAATCTATTTCAGGTCAACATGCAGGACATGAACTCCATGAAAAAGTAGTTTTGAAAGAAAAGAACAGGGTCATGGACTTCTGAGAATATAGGCCAAAGCAATTGGACCAGCCAAGACATAATCCTCTGAAATGTCATGGAAGAGCTTTCTGGCCAGAAAACACTTCAGCAACAAATCTCTATGTTGATCCTTATTAGGGATGAAAAGGGAAGGAAGCTCTTCCATGCTACCCAATCAGCTGCCGGTGGGAAACTCCCCACCCGCAGCTTGATGTAATCAATGGGGCGGGGTGCAGTGACATCATTGACCTTATATGGCTGCATGCCTATAACAGGTAAATGTAATCTACATAATATGACGAATCAGCATATGCATCCCGCCACTTTGTTTACATGTAGCTGTGGACGGGGAATGCCCATACAGTAGCTGATTGGTTGACCGTGCCCATGACACTTTCTTGTTCAGAAAAGCTTAGGTTCGGTCTGGGTCCCATCCAAGCCTGAGCTCCTCCCTAATTATTATTATACAGGATTTCTATAGCGCCAACAGCTTGCGCAGCACTTTACAATATAAGGAAGATATTGCAATTACAATACAATTCAAGACAAGATGGTAAGGAGGGCATTAATCCTAATGTATATGGCCTTTTTTTCTGGAACATAGGATAATCAGCTTTCTTATAAAAAGAACAGCTCTTGGTATGGCTAATTATTATGGTTCTTCATCTGAAGCTCTAATAAAAATTACACAGACCAGCACTTAGTAATCAGGAAATGCCAATATTACAAAACACAAAAACAGCAGGAGACATGAAGCTGCACATGCTACATATTTCTAATATTAATGCTGTAGTACTCCCACAACAAAGAAAAAGTAGCCGCAAAGTTGTCGTTACATTAGAACATCTTTTTGAAACATGGGAATAAAACCTGTGGAGAGTCATAAGCCCTGTACGTTGCCGAAAGTTCATCTGACCATCAATTAGACGCTACAATTGTCACATTTGTATCAGATTATCATACAGCCTTTTGGACTGCTGTGTCCATGTCTAACCTGCAGCTTTCTTCCTCCTGTCTTCCCTTTTGTCTTTTTTACCCACGATAGCATTTTCTAATAGGGAAGCTTGCTTGAGGTCTGCTTCGGTTACCAAAAACACAGGGCTGTGCTTCATTTCCTAGAATATTAGACCAAATTTTACATAAATTAGAGAGACCTATATTAGTCAGTCAGTCAAGGGCCATCATATATAGTTTATATTTAAAAAAAAGATATCTAGAATAATTATAACCATATATAAATGCACAGATTTCCAATAAGCAATCAAAGACCATGGCAGTCTGCCCTAATGAAAGAATGAATACATTAATACAATGATAACGATTGCATACCTTTTCAGCTTTGTGTTGCATGAGGTCATTAAAAAGTCCTGCACATTCACTTATAAATTTTTCGCTGATGATGATGGTGTCACCAAAGATCCGACTGGATGAACTTTTGTTTAACTTTCTCATCACTTGTTGAAGCAAGATTGAAGCATCTTCCACAGACAAACAACTTGGCAACAATGTCTAGAGTTTAGGAAACAGAGTAAATGGATTTTGTTTCTGTAGAGTCTGTGATTCCCAAAACACTATGCAAGAGACATAACGTATATAATCCTTTATATTCATTGCTGTACTAGGTCTTTGGAACCTCTGTAGTATTTAGGCCAACACCAGTTTATTTGTAAACCCCTTGCCCTGCTGCTTGGCTCTCTCAGTGTAGTAGTACAGAGGAGTGGCGTAGCATGGAGGGGGCACTTGCCCCCAGGAGATGGGATGAAGGGGGCACCAGCAGGCGGGAATTTCCCATAAAGTTCACTCGGTGCCAGCCGGAGATCATCTGTCACAATGTAGAGCGGGGAGCAGAGCGGAGAACGTCCGCTCTGCTCCGTGTAAACAGTGAGAGGAGAGCTGCACTCACAGCCTTTCCCTCAGCTATCACAGGAGTTCCAGCACAGTGCTATGCATAGAACTCCTGTATTAGAGGCGATAGGTTCTCTTTATTGAACCTGTCACCTCCTAATGCTATCATACAAGGGCTTGTTAGCTCATGCGTGATAGCAAGTGAAAAAAGTGAAAAAAATAAAGAATTAAATTTAAAAAAGGTAGGGTACCTTTTCAGTGTACACAGAGGTGGTGAGAGAGGTGGGCACAGAGGCAGAGCTGGAGGAGGGGTTCAGTGGACACAGAGATGGTGGTGGATGAGGAAAGAGGTAGAGAGCCACCCAAAGCTAACATCTGTGGCAGCAGCAGGAGGATCGCTGGGGGAGAGGTCAGGTGAACTCTATACCCCATAGCTGGGATGTGAAGTGAAGTGAGCTATGTACCCCAAACTGGGATGAGAAGTCAGGTGAGCTCTGTAATCTATAGCTAGGATGGGTGGTCAGGTGAGGTCTGTACCCCATAGCTGGGAGATCAGGGGAGCTCTTTACACCCATAGCCAGGGCTGGATTAAGAGCATCAAGGGCCTGGTGCTGAGGATTTTGGTGGGCCTTTTTATGGATGTGGAGAGATTGCGGGTTACTGGAGCCCCCTTCTATCAGTCTGCGGCCCTTCATCCTTCAGACTGCATGGATCGTGTGCATCACGATTGAACTATGGTTTGGGGTGGGGGGCGCCAATGAAAGGCTTGCCCCCCGGGCGCCTCGTGACCTTGCTACGCCTCTGGTACAGAGGCATTGTTCCTATACAAGTCTAAGGGAATGCAAAACCCACTTGAAACAGGTCAAATGCAGGTGAGAATGAGTTCAACTGCAGATCAAATGCACCTATCAATCAATTCAGAATGATCTCTGAAGAGGAACTTTACCCACAAATTTAATGTCTCCCAAACAGTTACTTTTAACCACTTGCTGCCCAAAAGCAATTTCTTACATTTGCACACACATGATAAAATCAGAATTTCTGGCTAGAAAACAGCCTCAGACCCCCAAACAATGATACATTTTCTGAAAGCAGAGGCCCTGTAGAATAAAAAGATGCTAGTTGCACAAATGTTTACCAAACAAGTATTTGTAGGATAAAATACACTAAAAGGAAATTTAGTGCACAGAAACGGAATATAATGCCCAATTTTTTGGTAAAATATATAGAAGACGGGGTCACGCCGGGTAAATAGATACCAAACATGTCAAACCTTAAAATTGCGCGTGTCTGTGAAACCGCAAAAAACTACAATAACCAAAATGTCCCATAGGCGGCACTTTAATGGCATATCAGTTTAGTGCTAACAGTGATTGATGGGCCTAGATGTGTATCATATGTGCAGCACCACGGCACATACAATCCAAATAGAGGCTATGATGGCACCTTCCTTGGCTGTAAGGGATAGGACAGTATAGATCCACTTTAACCAATGTTAAATTGATGCCATCAACACAAGCCTTTAATGTAGCCACCCTGACTCTCCTCAACGTGCATATATAAAAACAAAGAAAGGATTTAGGATAAGGGCTGAGCGTCATTTGGATTATCTGAATAACTGCGCCTGTACAGGTGTTGGCCATTGACATAAATGGCCTGCCTGTCACCATATGCTGAGAATAATGGCAGACAAGCCATTATGTTCTATGACTGGAAACTGAGGCATAAGCATTGCTGTGAGATGCTTGACTCCCAGCAGGCTGAAAATACTTGTACTGCGTTTGCCTCTGTGTCAGCACCAATTCAGAGATGATTTGGAGGATCTACAGACGAGTGATTCACAAATGATACATTTTTGTTAATAGTTAAAAGGAGAACTATGGGGTTAAGGCTTTTCCCCATAGTTCTCCTTAGGGTAACGGAAGGGCACAAACTAGCGTCCTCCGTTCACCCTAAGCTCAGTATACCGCGAGCTGCAGCTCGCGGTATACTGAGACGCCACAGTACACTGCAAGCTACTGCTCGCGGTATACTGAGACGCTGCAGCTGAAGCGGATCCCGACAATTATGTCTGGATCCGCCCAGCTGCGTGAGTGACAGCTGGCCCGGCCTATCTAGAGGCAGAGCCAGCTGTTCCCTCCCCCTCACCTCATAGTTCTAGCCGACCTGTGACAATGAGACTGTCACAGGTCGGCTAGAACTATGAGGTGAGTGTTTTTCCCTCCCCTCATAGTTCTAGCCGACCTGTGACAATGAGACTGTCACAGGTCGGCTAGAACTATGAGGGGAGGGAAAAACACTCACCTCATAGTTCTCCTTTAAGGTGCTTGACTGCATTTTTGACTCCTGAATTTAGTGTCACTTTAAGTAAAAAGTGTTTTATGATTAAGGTAGAGAACAATACTTAGAACATACATTTTTTTTCATTTTAGCTTGTTAAAACATACCATGATGTCCAACCATGATCCAGAGCCAATAGCTTCTTCTACTGAAGCTTCCACTTGATCTACTATACTCTGCCCAACACACACTGATTTCAGAAATATTAACTGGGTGGACTTATAGCGTTTCCTGACATAACTCAAGGGGTCAGGGATTCCAAGCCTGGATAAGGAGTCAAATTCTGAAACACAAAATTATATTTAAAAGTGTGTTATTGTCAAAACTAGGTCTGTGAATAAGAAACTTACAAATTATAATGTATATGAAAAAAAGGACCTGTTAACCAAGGCATAGGTTCACTGTACATTAGGAATGGAAAAAGGGAAAAGCTTACAGGAAAATTCATTAACAGTAAAGTCATGGGGTGTGCTATGATCAGCAATACATGCAATAACCAGTGTTTATTGGGCCAGGTGAAGGAACTGCTGGACATCTCAAATGTCTCAAGAAGGGCAGCCTGACTTCAATAGTCCTTGGCTGCCACAGTGAATCAGAACAAGAGCACAGACATGTATGAAGAGTCACATGGCCCAACATGTGCGTACTGTATATCCAAGACAGTAATTTACTTAGGAAGTGCATTTTTCACTTAGCAATGTGATCCTGTGTGTTCTTTTTAAACACCCAAGCATGTGCAGTGCAATTTAAAAGCTCAGTATATCGCAAGCTACAGCTCGTGGTATACTGAGGCTGCCGCAGCCGGGACAGATCCCGACAATGCTGTTGAGATCCACCCAGCTTCGTGAATGACAGCTGGCTCTGACTATCTAGAGGCAGAGCCAGCTGTGAACGCCCCCTCCCCCGTCCTCAGCACTGGAGGATCGGGGAGGGGGGGAATCCCTACAGGGAGCGTGAATGACAGTCAACGCTTTCTGCAGGGAGATGATCGAGAAGTGAGCTAGCGACGGTATGCGTTCGCTCACTTCCCGATCTATTGAGCCGACGTGTGACAGTTTCATGTCACACGTCGGCTCGAACTATGAGGATGAGTGATTTTCAGTCACCTCATAGTTCTCCTTTAAAAAAGAAAACACATAAATAGATGATTACAGCTGAAGTGAAAAAACAGGCTTTCAAATCAATTCAATTACCTTTAGTGATAATCCTCAATAAACGATCTATGCTACAAGCGATATTTTTGAGAGATAACATTTTCTACCACAAATCTCATATTTCTTCAGATTGTAGACTTATGTCCAGCTATAAAACGACCCCTCACACTTAACTCTTCTCTCCTACCCACATTCTAAAATTTAACCTAACCCCTAAATGACACCTTTAACACTTGACCTCCTCCCCCAATCCCAACAATCCTTAATCCAACTTTAAAACTACACACTTAAAATTGAACATGTAGCCAGGCTGTGGACATCTGAATATTTTCATATTTTTTAAAAACAGTAAATTAATTTTAAAAGAAGGCCTTGCTGTCCCCTGTAGCCCTGGGTACTGTGGAGCGATTGACCCTGAAAGTTCACAGCAGATGCATTGAAGGCCTTATCTCACAGCAGCTCAGCTCATGCTGCTCCCCCTTCTAGGAACACCAACTCTGGTGCTCTTTACATGAAAGGGATGGAAAGCTGCCACCAGGGTGAGCTGGCCTAGTGCTTCTGCTGTGAACTTTGAGGATATAAATTCTTGAATGGCCAAAACCTGGCCACACAATTATTTTAAAGCTCAGCTGAATACACAGATAGCATTTTCAGTCTCATAGCTCCTTTTTCTGAATAATACTTTGCTTCTCTTTTGGGTCAAAGTAGTATACACTATTTACTAATGTACCTCTGTGATCCAGTCAGCACACTGTATAACGGGCGACTGCCCGCTAACTGCTGACGGGGCAAAGCCGCACTGCAGATGGGAAGGATGCTGACAATATTGACAGGATCCACCTGACTGCTCTAGAGAGGCAGAACCAGCTGTCAATCAGGCAATCTGTGCCAATCTCATCTAGTGAGCGCTGGAGGAATAGAGATGGAATGGGGAGCGGTGACTGACGGTCACCATTCTCTGCAGGGAGAAGCTGTGATCTAAGCAATTAGCAGTTCGTGATCACTCTTTGTATATAAAGCCAGCGCGTGACAGCTGCTGTGTCCAACACCGTCTATTGGGAAGTATATAAATTTACTCTCCTAACAATTCCCCATTATGCCTCATTCACACGTGAAACGGCCGGCACATACAGCTCCGTGCTGCGTGCGTGGCCAAATCGGGCAGCTCCCAGGAAGGACCGGTGCTGCGTGCGATTAGTACACAGCCCCTATCCTTCTCTATGGGAGTACACGGCCGTACGCTGCCCTGCACGTCCACAGACAGGATGGATCCTGTCTGTGTCCGAGCCGGGACACCCGCACCTGTACGGACCTGCACTTGAGGTGAGCGTAGGGCGGCGTACGGCCACGTACTCCCATAGAGGAGGACAGGGGCTGCGTACTAATCACATGCACCTGTTCTTCCAGGGAGCTGCCCAATACGGCCACGCACGCAGCACGGAGCTGTATGTGCCGGCCGTTTCACGTGTGAATGAGGCCTTAAAGTCTATTTCTGGGGAAACAAACAAAAAAACTAACCCTTGGAGTGGGGCTCACCCAGCACTGCCGGGTTAACTGCTGTTTATGTCTAAGGCATTGTGTGAAGCACCCCTCTCTCCTCTGCATCCCCACTTCTGATGCAGGGTTATCTGGCCTGCATTGTATGTGATGACATCAGTGGGCCTCCAACCACTGAAGTGGCAGAGGGAAGAGGTTGTGGGTACTTGTCTTAGAGCCTGTGGGATAAGGGATCAGGTAAGTTAAAGTGCTTCACACCGGTCCCCTAAACATAAATGAGCAGTGAACCCTTGCAGTCCAGGGGTAGCTCCCAGCAGGAAACAGAAGCAATTCAATTGGTGTATGGCCACAACCAGCAATCATCCACAGGAGTTACTGGTGCGGGACCAAGGGTGGTGCCAGAAGTGCCAGCCACGGCTTGAATTTCAGGCGATCCAACAGGAATCGGCTGAAATGTGAGTCGTGTATGACCAAGTTTTACTGTAGATGTCAGATGCAGCACAATGTGTGTGCACTTTCCAATATGCTGTTGGTGGTTAGGGTGTGAAGAGAGAAGACAACTTGTGTATTAGGATTAATGAAAGCATGTTTGTATTGGTAGAAGTTTTATTTATAACAACACTATAGTTGACTAATTCTTATTATCATGCAAGCATCACTACCATGTAATTAGTAAAACTTCCTGTTTCTGTGCCCATCTCGATCTCCCTCCTATTTTTATTCTAGACAAAGGCTTCAAAAGGTAAACCAAAATGTCAAATGATATACAAAACAACAAAGAAGCATGATTGCAGTAAGTGAAAAGCCGTTTTTTTTCATGCCAGAAGCTGCATTCCCCAAATCACCTTAATGTAGCTAAAAACAAAAATTACAAAGCCCTCCTTGTTTCTTGAACACAGAAAAAGCAGTGCGTTACCTAGGTAACCGTTTTGCTTGAAAAATGCGTCTATCCAATTGCTCTGTGTTCTGGCATAGATGTCGGGAATAAACACAGCCTTATCCTGTCTCCCGCCGACCACGGTGCCCTTTAAACGTCCACAGTTAACAAGCTCCTCCAACAGAGCTGCAAAAAAAGGATGAAAGAATCAGACATTTTTTTTTGAAGAAGAATGTTAAATGGCAATTCTAAACTGCCGGAACAGTTTGCAACACATGGCATAAAAATGGACAATGTATTCAGGACAAGTCATTTAGTAACTGGATTAGGGACATTCAAAGACTACAGATCTGTTTAAAGACACACTGTCACCATTATGAAATTATGGGGCATATTTATAAAGCAGTGAATGCTTTAACAAACATTCACTGGTGGTGAATCCACCACTGTGATTTTAAACACGTGCACCTGGAAGAGTCATTGCCTTATAAATCGCCCTTATAAGAACTCAGGTGAAAAAAAATTCTTAACCCTTGCAGTGGGGCTACCCCCACACTGCACAAGTTAAGTGCTCGTTTGTGTCTAGGTTAAAAAAAAGTTATATTTACCAGAGCCTCGGATCTGGCCGACGCTCCCTGCAGCCTCTCTTCTACACTGCAGCGATGGTATGTCCCTCGGAGTCCTTGCGTCATATACATTGTATGTAGAATGAGATGACTCAAGAATCATTAGGCTGCAGCAGAGGGGGGGAGAGGCTCCAGGGTTCGGTTCAGAGGATCAGGCGAGTACAACTTATCTCATTCCTTCCCAGACAAAAATGAGCACTTAACGCTTGAAGTGCGGGGGTAGCCCTACTGCAAGGGTTTAGAATTTTTTCCCTGGAGTTGCTTTAACATATTTTAGGCATGTTATTTACCTGTAAAAGCCTCATGTGTAAACATCCAAAAGCCGTCAGACTGCTACTGGGTGCTGCCATCTTGAATATGATATCAGCAGCTCCAGCAAACTCAGATCTGTCACTCAAGAGATACTCTAGAGCAGGGATAGGCAAACTCTGGCCCTTCAGCTGTGGTGCAACTACAAATCCCATTAGGTATTTTAAGACTCCAACAGCCACAGGCATGACTCCCAGATGTTTCACTACAGCTGGAGGGCCGGAGTTTGGCTACCACCTGCTCTATAGTATTCCCTTCGCTTGTTAGCTACATATGAGGCTATGCATGGAGTGAAGGAGAAGCTGGGCCAGCACAGACAGCATTTAGACACTTCTAGAAGAGGAGAGGGCTATGATGTACAAGGAGCAAGTGAAGGATGTGCCAAGGTGAAATGAAAATTAATATTGCATATATAATTGCTGAACAAGCCATTTTATCATTTCCTTTTAAACCTGCAGTTGCTGTAATTTTATAAAACTGTCAAAAATTTAACTTCCTGCTTCTGTGATTGGCTGACTGATTTTTCGCAGAAGTCTGCACGAAAATACATGTAAAAACTTAGGCTTACCTTGCAATAGTAAATTCATTCATTCAGACCCCTAATGTCACCTAAGGACCCCAAAGAAGCTAATGAAGCAGAGATCTGCTTCACCAGCTTCTTCTCCTGGCTCTAGGAACCCGAGAATGTGCACAGTGACACCGGAAGTGATGTAATACACATCACTTCTGGGTCCAGTGATCGGATGAGAGATCAGTGGCCAGAAGCCAACTAATCTCCCTCTGATATATCAGGGGAGAAGCCGCTGTGATAGTCCTGGGCCCGCACAGGGGACAGCGGATTCCAGAGGCGCTCCGGCGGAGGGGGGGACACAGCGCCGCACCGTACAAGTGGTCCGGTGCCTGTACAGATGCCGGATCATTTCTACAGAAATGGCAATCGCCTGCTGTTTAAAACGGTACCAAGAACACAGTATAACCACTTCAAGTGGGTGACGTGTATTTACGTAAGCCTGCGTAAAGTGGTTAGAATCTTTGTAAATGTACACAGATCACCGAGAGGAAATTGGTTTTTATCTCAATAGAAGTAGAGTTGCTCTTTAAAGAATCAGTGCAAAATACTTTTCTGTGCGTTAACATTCAATTGGTGACAAAACGAAAAATTCAATTGGTGACAGGCTCTCTTTTTTTTTATAGGTTTTCTAGAAACCTAACCATGATGAGCTATATACTGTGTATCATATTAGTGACTCAAATAAGGACAGGACAACATGGATCAACTTCAGGTATCACCATACCCCGCCAGCCAGCGTATGTAGTTCCCAGATCATCTGAAAACCGTTTGCAAGAGAATCCGTCAGCTTTCAGTAAAATCTAGGAGTCATTAGTACCTACTAGATTCTTTTAGAGCACAGAACCCCAGGGTAGAAGCCAAAGGATAAAACCGCCGGACTAGCATTCGATGTTTACCCCAAATGCTCTAGTGCAATAGACCACACATTCGGTATAGGGTTTAATGAAGGCTACGTTCTATTCAGTCGGTGTTAAATAAAACTCAGTTAACATTCAGCAACAGAAATGGATCCAACAAGCTAGCTGTTACATGTAATTAAGCCAACTTAATCACAACCAATGTGCTACTAAATATAGCATGCTATTAATACAGTTATATGGAAACTCAACTCATCAATGATGTCATGTAGAAAAATACTTATAGCATATAAGGTTTAAAATAGAAGTATTGCAATGTAAATGTATATAAATTCAAAGGCAGTGGTACATCTACACCAGACTTATAGGAAGGATAGAATTATTGGAGTTTCCACTGTGGACTTGTTCTTGAATTTGCATGATCCAGGGCTCTCATCCCTCACTACTTAATAAGTCAATAACCTGTTTAAATAGATATATAGATATATATAAAAATAAACAAACAACATTTCTAATGCAAATATACATTGCAAAGAATCCCCAGAGCACTATGGGCTTTCTATGGAGACAGAATGGCAATCTCCTTTCAGGACACAGTATTTTCACTGAATCCTTTCATGGAACCATATGTTGAGAATGGTTGAGATGTTGCTCTAATTTATTCCCTTGAATGTGTAAATTCAGCTTCAGCTACCAGGTTCTATAAACAACAGGCTTTTAACAACAAGACGTAAGAATATACTATAAAACATGTAAAAAGCTGCCTAAAGTGCCACCTGCTGGCTGAAAATGTGAATGCAAAATATTGCTATGCAAACAACTTTTTTTTATTTACTTTTTTGTCCTATTTTTGTTTGTCCAAATAAACATTTATATATACACATATATAAAAATACAAAATAATAATGTACCAAACGTTTAACTAAGTAGAATTCTTCCATTAGAATTCTCACAAAAGCTTTACTTTTTCATTTATGTGTAAATATACATTTTCAGAAAACAGCTCTGGGATCTCTTTTGTGACAAAGGGTCTTTCAATAATGAATCTTTCCACATCCGCAGTACCACCCCTAAAGTATTATTAACGTGTAACCCATTTCTTCCATTATATCCCCACCAGCATTCCTATCTACTTCATACCAACACAATGCACAAAATACAGCTGGAAATGCTGGCTGCTGATGTCGAGGTGTATTTTTTTTATTTTAACAGAAAGGCGGAAGCTATGCTCCATTTCCACCAAGCAAACCTACTTAATAATCCCCGCACCACAAAATAAACTTACAGTATAGAAGATGCTCCTGAAAGCCATGCTGGGTAATCAAAGTGATCACTGGAGTGGGTCTAAAACAAAGAGTATAGTACTACAGATTAACATGCTACCTTTCAGAAATTCAGTAAAATGTTTAATAATGGAAAAATTCTAACAAAGGCAAAGTATTCAATTTTGGATTTAGATTTTACAGATGCATACACAACTACTACATAACAAGCTTCTTCAATGTGCTGTTGTTTAGCAAGTTGCTATAGAACAAATGAACCATCAGAATGCATACAAAAACACTTTGGGGCTGATGTATGAACGTTTTCAATGTATAGCTGGAAGAATGCTGTTCGCACGGCATTCCCGCCACTAGATAGAGCCAAGGAGCATAGGAAATTCCCACGCTTCTCAGCACCAGTTAATGCTGGGAATGCCGTGCGAACAGCAATTGTGCAACTATACGCTGGGCGGAATGTTTATACGTCAGCCCCTTAAAACTTAATTCCACACAATGACTTTCAGTGTTAGTTGGGATTTAATGTGTTAGTGCACACCAGTGTTTTTACCTTCAAACCGGAATTGAGGAACGTTCAGTGTCCTGTAAATGTTAGTTCCTTGGCAATCATGCTGAATCAATGGTTTCAATACTTTCCAAACCATTAACACACACAAGCATGAATATTAACAGGTCAACTTTCCAGTTCAGCTATGTTGTCCTAGATTGTTCACTTCTCCAAACTCTTCACCCTTTTGTGAATAAACCTGTAAGAGTTTAAACTTCACTCTGACTTTCTCGATATTTGTATGTTCCTGGTATGGATGCCACTGAATCAGCATGATGGCCAGGCAACTGGCAATTTGAAAAGGAGATCAGTAATAGTAGCCACATTCTTTTTCTCTCGACACAGGTGCCTTAAGACTTCTATTGGCTAGATTAAACCTGGACCATTCTCTTATCCATTGCCATTCAGATTATACTGGGGTTCTTAGATTTATTTCCCACCCTATTGGAAGCAAGGAGTTTATATGATCTAATCATGATTCTGTCATTATATGGGGGTTTTTTTTCTAGATTATACTGGTAGGTCAATTAGTTACTGTCCAAACTCCCCCTAGAGTATGTGCAGGTTTGTTTGACTTTAGGTTCGAGTTCCTCTAGGGCAGTAACTTACAGAATTTGACTGATTGAATACCAAGTGCTGCATATTATGTTTGTCTCATATCTATGGGAAATAGGCAAATTAACTACATACTGATCCTTACACAAAGGGAAGTTTACAACCCCTCTCCTTGATAGGAGAAGTCAGGGAAGATGGTTGTGTCCGGAGCTCTATGATGTTAGTACCTGTGGCAGGCAGGGCAGTTTAGGACTATTACTGATAAAAGGATCGCACCTCTATAACCTATAACTCTAAGGCAAGCAAAAAGACAACACTTCGTAGAACTGACACAAAACCACAGATTACGTTGATCTCTACAAACAAAACTATTGGCTTTGTCAAACTATTAGCAACCGCATAGCAGACTAAGTCATGTTTCTCAAGAACAATTGCAAGGTCTAGCTATAGAACCAAAGATCTATAACATTTTTATTCTGTCCAATGGAAAACTCAATGAGAGGTGCTAGAGCAAGGAGAAGGACTGTAAAGCCCTGTGGAAATATTGGGTTAATATTTAGGTCAAAATGAATAATAGGGCTTAAAGAGGCACTGCATTGATACACTGGGAACACCACAAAATGCAAGAACACATACTTCAAAACACTGAACTAAAAATCCTTTTTGACCTAAATTATAATTATATTGAAATAAGTTCTTACCTTGTAATAGCTGTAAAAAGACCACGTATACGTGCCCTGTGTCGAGATACAAATGCCTCTGTGTAAATCACACCCTTGTTGCTTTGGTCAATTTTCCCTTGAACAATACTGCCAAGCCTCCTTGATGACTTCTATTGGCTAGATTAAACCTGGACCATTCTCTTATCCATTGCCATTCAGATTATACTGGGGTTCTTAGATTTATTTCCCACCCTATTGGAAGCAAGGAGTTTATATGATCTAATCATGATTCTGTCATTATATGGGGGTTTTTTTTCTAGATTATACTGGTAGGTCAATTAGTTACTGTCCAAACTCCCCCTAGAGTATGTGCAGGTTTGTTTGACTTTAGGTTCGAGTTCCTCTAGGGCAGTAACTTACAGAATTTGACTGATTGAATACCAAGTGCTGCATATTATGTTTGTCTCATATCTATGGGAAATAGGCAAATTAACTACATACTGATCCTTACACAAAGGGAAGTTTACAACCCCTCTCCTTGATAGGAGAAGTCAGGGAAGATGGTTGTGTCCGGAGCTCTATGATGTTAGTACCTGTGGCAGGCAGGGCAGTTTAGGACTATTACTGATAAAAGGATCGCACCTCTATAACCTATAACTCTAAGGCAAGCAAAAAGACAACACTTCGTAGAACTGACACAAAACCACAGATTACGTTGATCTCTACAAACAAAACTATTGGCTTTGTCAAACTATTAGCAACCGCATAGCAGACTAAGTCATGTTTCTCAAGAACAATTGCAAGGTCTAGCTATAGAACCAAAGATCTATAACATTTTTATTCTGTCCAATGGAAAACTCAATGAGAGGTGCTAGAGCAAGGAGAAGGACTGTAAAGCCCTGTGGAAATATTGGGTTAATATTTAGGTCAAAATGAATAATAGGGCTTAAAGAGGCACTGCATTGATACACTGGGAACACCACAAAATGCAAGAACACATACTTCAAAACACTGAACTAAAAATCCTTTTTGACCTAAATTATAATTATATTGAAATAAGTTCTTACCTTGTAATAGCTGTAAAAAGACCACGTATACGTGCCCTGTGTCGAGATACAAATGCCTCTGTGTAAATCACACCCTTGTTGCTTTGGTCAATTTTCCCTTGAACAATACTGCCAAGCCTCCTTGATAGTGTCTGTGGAGTAAGCATTTGTAAAAAAAAAAAAAAAAAAAAACATTTCTAAACAAAATTGAGAAAAAAATAAAAAAAAACAGCTGAAATCACTTCAGTTGCAGCCCATCTCTGGGGAAAAAATGCCTCCTTTGCAGTAGGGCTGCCTCCCTGCACTGCAAGGGTTAACTGCTTGTTAATGTCTAGGGTACCTGTGTAAAGGGCTTACTTACCTGATCCACGCTCCCACAGACACCAAGACTGATACCCGCAGCCCCCCCAGCTCTGGTGGTTGGCGTCATGCTGATGTCATCATGTTCAATACAGAGCCTATAGCTCTGCAATAAATGCGAGGACACCAAGAAACAGTCCACAAGCTAGAGCTTAGGAGGGATGAGATGAGCGCCAACTGCCGGGGGGAGCGGGGATCAGGTAAATAAACGCCCTGTACACAGCTCCCCTACAAATTAAGAAGCAGTTAACACATGCAGCGCAGGGATAGTCCCGCTGCAAAGAGAGGTTTTCTTACCCAAGAGATAGGCTCTTATATACCTTGTAGAGTTGCAATATGAAGTATGGATAGTACACCCGTATTGGCGGATGGGAAGTAGCGTTCGCAAAAGGTAAGTATAGCAGGGTGGGGGAGAGGGGGCCAGATTGGAGCGGGTAATTCCATTTTCCCAAATTCACTTGGAAAAGTGAACTTATCCTTTAATAATATAGTCATACCCATTCCATCTGCAAGTGAGAGCAAGCACCAAATGAAGGTATGAAAGGTATGCATGAATATGTATATGTTCATAGCCTGATTTGATTTGCATGTGTCAGAATTTTGATTGATAAATGCTCCTCGGTGTGTTTTCTAAAATCAGTACCCCAGCAGCGGTTTAATCTTTCTATGAACTGTAATGGAAGGGCCCATTCACAGTAGCTGCATGCTAAAATGATCATGTAGGCTATTGTCTACTGTGCAACGGCAGTGGCACTGGGGTGCCTTGCATCAAAGTGACATTTCATGCATTTCTATACACTGCAGCATGTTTGCATATCTCTGCAATGCAACGCACCTGAAGGCAGCACTGTGGTGTCACTGCACATAGTGTGAACGGGCCCTAAATCTTTTAAGTAACAAATGTTTCCTAGAAAGCTAATACTTCAAAATGCAATGCCTATTTTCCAGTTCCATAAGACGTTAGCAGATGTAGAATGTAAACCAAAGATATGGTGCATGCCCCATTTGACAAACCCAGGCTACTTCACTGAGCTGCCATTAATCATCCTCACACCATGGGCATGGCATCCGGCAGGGTGCTCATTTATTTTCAAATCTCCCAAACTCAAGTAACAAAAGAAAATTGTTGCAGTTATGCAGGAGACTGCAGTCCAGACATCTCGACAGTCAGAACATTTTATTGTAGAAAAAAGCCATTAAGATAAAGCAATGTGTTTAGTCATGGGCAAATATATTGTACTGGATATGACTAGTAGGGCTGCAACTAATGATTATTTTCACCATCGATTAATCAAAAAAATAATCTGATAAAAAAAAAAATTAATAAATGCCATCCTTAATTTAAAATAAAATACACAAATGCAGTGTTACAAACACAAAGTTTATGTCAGAATAAAACTGCATGCACAATTTTTCGCAATCGCACCGCACTGGAACGCACGACATTGCAGTACCGCACGTTCCACTGCAGTAGATCACAATATGTGTGGGAGGCGGGTTTGGGGTGCCATTGAAATGAATGGCACTGCAACGCACCTCCCGCAGTAGAATTTGACAGGTCCAAACTGAAAATGACTTTTTTCCCACCTTTTGTCATTAAAAAAAAAAAAAAAAATAATTGTATTGTAAGCACATGGCGCTTGAATAGCTTCAGCCCGGGAATGACAGCTGCCAGTGGCAAGATTCCACAGACGGCAGCTGAATGTAAATACAGCAGGTAGTGGGCTGGTGCAATAGCACCAACTAATTGATAATGAGAATAGTTGACAACTATTCTCTTTATTGATTAATCAATTAGTTGCTTTACAGCCCCAATGACCAGGCACTAAGGGGATGATGTATGAAGGCTTCCAGTGCTCCTCTAACGTCATTCAGCAGCTGTAATGTTGTATGAATTGTATTCGCCCAGCGTACAGCCTTTAAAATATGAGGATGGTCTTGGCTGTTCTCCCATTGTAAAGGGAAGTAGGGGTTATTAGTTATGTGTAATCAAGTGTTTTCCTTTATAATGGGAACTCTGGCGATAGTATAAAACCGATATCCACAACTAACCGTGTTTAGGATTTTTCTTTCATTGAAAACTATATTCCAGCTAAAGTCAACCAAGATGGCCAGCCGATTTATGTTCTATTGCAGTAGTAATAATAAAATAAAAAGCACAGAGCTACTGAAATATGGTTCTGGCTGAGTTCTTTATCACCTCTGTCAGGAAGTCGCCTGGAAGGTCGTACGTCTTGCACAGTTCTGATATAGTCACTTGGCCGGCTTCCTGCAATTTATCATTAACTTCTTCTGCTATTTGGTCCAGATAGTTGCTAATAAAAAGGAAGAAATATGGGTTATTTTAAGTCAAGATTTAAACAGGAAATGTGGTCTTCTTGGAGATACGTTTAACTATATGTAAATAAACTTATCAACATATCTTACTATTTTTAAATCCTTCTATGTATATCCTGTAACAACATATGCACACGGGGACAGTCATTTTTGCTCATTACACATGAAGGGTCTGGTTAGGCTTAGTAATGTCGAACAGTGTTTGTGCCTTGCAGATCCCCTAATTCCAGCGCAAAGCTGCCTGAGTAAAAGCAATAGATTAGAGACCGCAGACAATGTCATGAAACTCCCATAATACTGTCCAAAGACCACGCAATATTTTCCCTAGGCTTTAGGTCACTTGATGGAGGCTGGGAGCAGCAATTTTTTTATGGCAAAAAAGTACTGTATTGTTGGCAAGCTCCCCATTGATTTCATGTGAAGCGTAACTTTTACTAAATGGGCTGATTTAAAGATCTAGTAAAGTATATTGAAGGCATTTAGGCCTAAAAAATAAACAGGCAGTCGATCCGAGCTTTTACCTCCCCCTGACCGCCCATCTAAAACTCAATATAGCAGGTGGTTTTGTTGCAGCAAATTTTAAACAGTATGTCGCATTTGCCAGGAGGTGCAACTTGCCAAGTGTGACTACTGCAATCAATGGGAACACGCTGCAGCTGGCTAGGCACGCGGTCGTGTTATTGCAATAGTAAACCCCCATTGGGCTAAGAAAAAAGATCATTCAAGTGTATCGCCTCCTGAATGGCTGGCAGCCACTCCTTAACTGCTCTCTGAAAAGACATCTACTGCAGATGGCCTATCACAGGGGCGGTGGAGCCTGCTGCCTGTGTGAATGAGGCCTTAATAAATCCAGTATTTAAAAAAAAAAAAAAAAGGATGAAAAAAGGTTTGGGCTACACAATGACTGCCTGTTCCCTGTTAGAGTGCATGGTGATCAATCAGTAAACGATTACTTTAAAAGTTTAACCTGACCATACAGGAAGCAAATTTCCACCGTTTTCTGATGAATTGGCAGAAATTCAAGCTGTGAGTGGCCCTGTCGCACCCCTCTACCTAACAAAACTATCTTTTAGTCGACTTTCATGGAAGGAGCTGGTCCAAAAACCTTTGGTTGTATAGTGCCTTCCATACACCTGCCGATTATTGTACGATCGCGGTATCACCCGCGATTATCGTACGGTAATCGGCAGGTGTATGGGCACCTTTAGAGACACATGTAGATGGGATTCCAGGCCTAAATTGTAGAAATCTCTATAGCAAAGTGAATGTAATCTCACACAGGGCAAAGAGGAGGCTTTTCCATACACAAGGCTCAAAAGGAGAGACTTGTATGGGAATTGTCAACAAATCAGATTTTTAGCTGTCAGTTTTCTGCAGCATATTACAAGCGGAATGGAGACATCTAACCACCTGCTACCAGCCCGTCACTTTGACATTGATCTAATTTTTCCCAAATAGTTGCAAGAGTATGACCGATATCTGATTAACCAGTTGACATCCGCGGTGTTAAACCCCCTTCCCATCCAGGCCATTTTTCAGTATTCAGCGCTGCGGTACTTTGACTGACATTTATTCCGTCATGCAGCGCTGTACTGAAATGAATTTTATACCCTTTTTTGGGGACAGATAGAGCTTTCTTTTGGTGGTATTTATTCACCACTGGGGGTTTTATTTTTTTACTATATTAAGGAAAAATTACCGAAATTTAAAAAAAAAAAACAGTTTCCCCTATATTAAATGATAAAACATTTATTATTACCCAATTTTTTGGTAAAATATAAAAGATGGGGTCACGTCGGGTAAAAAGACACTAAACATGTCAAGCCTTAAAATTGCGTGCGCGCGCGAAACCTCAAAAAACGATAATACCCAAAATTGGCCCTAGGCGACGCTTTAAAAGCTGTTACCGCTCATCAGTTTAGTGTTATCAGTGATTGATGGCCCTAAAATGATTGCTCTCACTGCGACGTTCGCGGCGATATGTAACATGTGTAGCGCAATTGTAATTTTTGCGCGCTGGGGCACCGGACGCGTATTTACGTTTATAGGCGCGTAAACGTGGGGGTGGGGGAGTTAAACATTTTGGGGGGGTTTTTTCCCCTTTTTTTATATGTGGCTTTTATTTTATTTTATTTTTTTATGTGTTACTTTTCTTTTTTTTTATTTATATTTTTTTTTTTGCACTTATTGTTATTGCTATTATATAGGGGGATAACAACCCCCTATATAATAGCAAAGGCACACTGACAGGTCCTCTTTATGGAGATATTAGGGGTCTCTAGGACCCCTAATATCACCTATGGACCCCAAAAGAAGCTGATAAAGCAGAGATCTGCTTTATCAGCTTCTTCTCTCTCCAGATGACTGACAGGTGAATGCGGAAGTGATGTAACACACATCACTTCTGCATTCACAGCCCGGACGGGGATCAGCAAGGAGCTGATCTCCCGTCCTCCTCCTCCTGACGCCCTCGGAGCCGGTCCCGGGATCCAAGATGGGGCAGCGGATCCCGGGAATCAAGGTGAGGGGTCAGGGGGAAAAAAAAAAAAAAAAAAAAAACCGGAAGCGCCGAGCGGGCGCGGGGGGGGGGGGGATGGGTGCCGCGAACGAGCACATATAGGCGATCGGCGGGCTATGGACCCGCCGATCGCCTATATGTGAAACACCCGGTAACGGGTGTGTGCATTTAGCGGGTCTTTTCTGCCCGTGCGTGCCCGCTAGGGGGCGCGCGCGAGCAGAAAAAAATTGCCGTCTGGAGACGGCAACCCGCAGATGCTGCAGTGCCGTCCGTCCGTTTTTTTACTACGGGCGGACGGCAAGAGGTTAAATTTCAATTAACTTTTTTAATTAACTTTCATTTTTCTGTTTATGGCCGGCCTATGAATTGTCATTTGTTTACTTACTCATCCACAAGCTGCCCGAGTACCAACTGTAAAAATTTTTCTGACCTCACAAGATCATTTGCTCTGCTTTCAATGTGAGTCAGGTCAACATTCACCACCTGTCAGAAAACAAAATCAATTCAAAGCTTTATTAATTGCATGCAGTGTGCACTAATGCCATACTACTTTCTACTTTGACAGATGTAGAAATATTGGGAGGGTATTTATCAAAACTGGAGCAGATGCACATGGTAACCAATCAGCACCTCTCTTCAGTTTGCCCGGTTAAGATTTGAAAATGAGAGATAGAAGCAGATTGGTTGGAGTGCAAATCTGCTCCAGATTTTGTCTGCTCCAGTTTTGATAAATTCCCCTCATTGTATTTAGTATATGAATTGTGTTCTATATTTCACATTACATTTATTTATGTTTTTCACAAATTTAAAAGCATACCAAGCAGTCCTCCAAAATTTACAGTTACAGGGGCTGGGAGTTTCGCCTTCCATTTCCATTGTTTATTGAAACTTCAACTAGTTGAAGTGGAACTACGCCCTCCTATCCCTTACAGCCAAGGAAGGTGCCGTCTTAAGGTGCCCATACACCTTAGAAACATCGCAAGACATTTGTCTTGCGATGGTTGTAAGCTAATTAAAAGCTTGTACGATCTGCCCATCTTGGACAGGCTGATCGTACTTGCGATATTCGCAAGCCCGCTCCCTGAGGGGCGGGCTTCCGATGACTGCAACGAGGGGCGGGCTTCTGGTCGCACGCCTTCCATACACTTTGCGATTATCGCGGTATTTCGCGCGATTCTCGTACGATAATCGCACAGTGTATGGGCACCTTTAGCCTATTTAAATTTCAGCTGGTGCTGCAAATGTAAACAGCTATGACACCAGCCATTTGAGGGCATGACAGTTTGGTTCAGAGCTCAAATAAGAACACTGATAGCCTTGACAGTTGGCATGCCTTATAAATAGCTGTTTTTGGAGACATTACATTGGTGGGCAAAGTTCCTCTTTAATCACATGCAGTTTTATGAAAAAAACTGCGCATTTACATGGGAGTCAATTCATTATGGCACTGATGCATGAGGAGCTCAGTGTACACTGTAAAGAAGTTCAGCAGGAGAGACATTGTATGTCTCTTCTTCAATAAAAAGCCTCCCTGCTCACAATTCTTTTCAGTAAAGTTCCGCTTCAATATATCCAAGAAAACTAGGCATGTTTGCACACAATCCTAATACCCTTTTCCTTTCTTCTACTTTGAAAGTTTGCTAGCTTGCATGACCCTCTTTAATCCGATTTAAAGTCCTCCACAGACAATGAGCTCTCTGTATTTGGATTCATATACAAGAAGTATCCTGGGGATCTCTTTAGATGTGCATGCTTCCTTAGCTAGTTCACAATTCACAGGCAGGGATTCATTAAAAAACACTGAATACCCAGGTTACAAAAACAAAACTTGCATTTTTATCACTAAGTTACACATTACAGTTAAAGCTCACTGCTAGGGTTAAATGCTCGTTAAGTTTAGGGGTAGAAGAATAGGCTGCAATACTTACCTTGTTCCTCTCTCTGGTGCTCTCCTCTTCTCTAACGGTTTGATTTGTGGCCGGGCCCGCGCTGGTCCTTACATACAATGTAAGATTATTGTACATGTTGCAACTGTACTTGATGATATCAGTCCGCAACTGCTGACTGGATCATCTTTTAGAAAAGGCTATGGGGGACTGGTTGCACAGATGGCATAGGAGCACGTCGGAGAGAGGGTGGACCAACATTGCAAGGGTCATTTTTTTTTTCTACCAGAAGTGGGGTTTTACTCTTTCAGGGCCCCATGAAGTGTAAACTAACAACACATGTAAAATGCGGACACGCAGTGGTGCCTCAAGTGTCTTTATCTTAAGATGAATTCCTGTGTGCAGAGGGAAAGCCTGGATTCTGGGCTCATACTGCACACAGCCATCAAGCAGCCCTCTACCAGTCAATCAATCACTGGTACTAGATGGTTAAATAACGCGGTTGTGACTTTGTGCCAAGTCGGATAAAACTTGAGGCCCTGCACACAGTCTGAGCCTGGTATCCTGGTATTTTTCTAGAAAGAAAAACATTTGAAAACAAAGACAGGTGCATGTATCGGCAGTTTACTGCAATGTAAACACAATGCGGAATAAGGTGTTCTGTGATTAGAGAGGAGGGGGTGAGGATGTGACATAATTTCTCATCCTCACAGGACGCTTTGTATTCTTTGAGGAAAATACTAGGCATTTTGTCAGCGGGCAAGTAGTGAGGAGGGATAGGCGAAGCCACTGGATCACTTCACTGCTAGAGTTGCATTCCTCTCTTCCCACAGTGCCTGGAATAACAGTGTAATGTGCAGGAAGATGCCATGCTATAAGGCAAGATTGTTATACTTTGCAGCAGACCTCCAGACATGTCTTTGCAGTGATAATTTGCACACACTCAGTGTGGTGTGAAAATGGTCATGTTTTTTTCCTGGAGTTTGGCTTTACCTAAGCTGACCACCGCTGGTTTACAACCCTAGAAGGGCCTAACAGTTTCACTTTAAAGTTAGTACATGTTAGCATTGTACACATCTATTTTCACATCTATTGCTAGTGTGCAACAGCCTAAAACAGGCCAGTCATAGTAGGGAATACCAGAGATACAGAGAATGATGGTTTTAGTACCAATGCACAATGAGGCCACAGCCTGAGTTCATTTTGGCACCTCATGTAGCAGTGTTCACATATCCCGAGTCCATGATGGTTTACTAAACAGTAGCCAGGAAGCATTTTACAAGTGAAGGAAAGTTAGCAGAGTGGTGCATTATGTCTGTGTAGTAAGCCTTAAACTGGCCATAGATACAGTACAGTTTTGTGTGAAAATATTTCTTTCCAATTTCGCTCTCCCAATAGTTAATGTGTTGGTTCGAATATTACCTATGAACGCTCATACGATACATTTCGTCAGAACATTCAATAATGCCATCAGAGACTTGACGAATGTCATTTGAAAGGGCAACCTATTTTAACTCTCCATTTTAGAATAAATGGAGCTTCCTGGATGAAAACCACATTCACTGTTAGAATTTCCTTTGAGAAAAATTTTCCATCCTGCACCTTTGATTTTTTTTCATCACTACAGTGGAAAACGAGTGTCGATTTGACCCCATTGACTATTAGAGAAACTGAACTAACCTTTCAGAACCAACTTTTTTCAAACAAAGTTCTACTGGTATATGCTCAGTTTAAAGTGCAAGCTCACTTTCTTGTGAAAAAATGCAACATCACAGGAGTTTGTATGTTCTCACTGTGCTTGTGTGGGTTTCCTCCGGGTACTCCGGTTTCCTCCCACACCCGAAAGACATGCTGGTAGCTTAATTGACTCCTCTCCAAATTGTCCGTGCATGTGAGATAGGGACCTTAGATTGTAAGCTCCTTGAGTGCAGGGACTGATGTGAAACTATGTAAAGTGATGCGTAAATTGTTGGCGCTATATAAATACCTGTAATAAATAAAATCCCCTTGCCACCACTGCACTTACATGTCTGAAGTTCCCGCCAGCCAGTGTAGCAGTCCGTACACCACACTTTCCAGCCCCGCAGTATGGAATGCTCATAATGGTCAAAAATGGCGAGCACTCATTGGGACCAATGAGAAGCAGTTTTTAAGCTGGCCATACACTGTTATAGTTTATTGGTTCAACCTGCAGGCTAAACAAAGAAAATAGAACAGATTCCTCCATCAACGCTTAGGAACCTTGATCGAGGTATCTCCCGCTGTCTTTACTGTATTGTGACAGCGGCAACTGGCCTGTCAGAATACCCAAATAGAGTCGGAGGCCTCCCGCTCTGTTCGTTTGAAGATTTTCTGACCAGCTCCTTCAATCAGCTGATAAAGGGATGCCAGCTGAAAGGGTGCCAACAGCATTCAATAGGAACCGTCCCAAATTTGCATAGATTTACTTCTGGGACCTGGTCCCAGGCTCAGAAGTGCTTCTGAGTGGATGGTCATGTGACTGTGCAAACAAATGCACAGACCGCTGCACCAACTGGTAAGGACTTCCGACATGTAAGCTCAACAGGGGTCAGGGAGGTGGGGGTGCTGTCAGTAAATTAATTTACCCTATTAGAGTAATCACAGGGACTAACGTGAGGGAATACAGGCTGCACTATCCGTCATGATAAATTCACTAGTCATGCATCTGTAGATACTAAATGAACATACCTGCTGCAGTTCAACTACGTTCACTCTTCCTAGAAAGACAGAAGAACACAGATGGTGAATCATTGTATTTACTATACTGAGCGGACCTGAGAGAGAAAGTTGTCTCTTAGTATTGCTCCTCTGTTCAGTGGGCAGGTGCAATAGCCTCTCTGCTATTGGCTTTTGCAATTTGAAAATGGGGGGGCACGGTGGGGGGGTGAGTGAGCGAGGCTGTGCCCTAGGCACCAATGCGCACTAGGCGGCTGCCTAGTTTGCCTAGTGCCAGCACCGGCCCTGCTTTCATCCCTAATGATATCTGCTAGATTTACTTACCCCCTCGAACCTGAAGCTCATCCCTTATTTCTTTAGAAATCTGTGCAGGGGTGATATATTCTTTCCCATCAAGAGTGTGCACTACATCCAACTGCTTCTCAGCGATCAGCTTCGCAACAATCTCTATGCAGTTACGTTCCGATAACCTGCAGATACAAAAGATATAATTGTATAAAAGAGAAGCAGCTACAACCCATCTGTTATTAAACAGGTCTGGACAGATCTTCCCAAAATCTAGCAGTGTTGGTGCTCCAAAGAGCCAGCAACATTGTGGATTTTATCTGACGTATGCACTTCACAGCAGTCATATATACCTGCTCTTCTAATAATCCCTGGCTCTAGCACGTATTGTTGGGGCTAAAGCTGAACTCCAGCCTGGCTCTGAAATGTCTTACTCTGACTTCCCTGCACACTGAGATTTTTACAGTGTGCATTATAAGCTGCAGCATTTCTCATTTCCTGGCTAGGGGACAGCCAGCATCATCTAACTCAGGGGTAGCCAAACTCCGGCCCTCCAGCTGGGGCGAAACTACAAATCCCATGATGCATCTCTCTCTGGGAGTCGTGGCTGTGAGAATCTTGCAATGCCTGATGGAATTTGTAGTTCCACCAAAGCTGGAGGGCCGGAGTTTGGCTATCCCTGATCTAGTTCCTCCCTCACCGTACTGACCCCAGCTTGTCCCTTTTATGCATTATATTTCAGTACTTTCAGGTCATGGAGGTTCAACATTACATGCGAGGGTTGCCTACATAGTTGTATCTAAAATAGATTGTAATGTGTGTAGTGATTTTTTTTTGCTGTTAATGGCTCTCCCTAGCACACTGAAGTGAGCAGACACAGATTAGAAATATGTCCATCCTGACATACAACATGCTATAATTACATAAGCGGTGTAGTTTGTGTTCTCAGCATGTGATATCAATGGTCACACACACTATAATCTAGTGACTTGAATTAGATGACATCCTGAGCACTACCAGCTCCAGGTGACAAAGTAAGCAGCAAGGCATGCTGGGAGATGTAGTTCCAAATCACTAGGCCAGCCACTGGTGGAACCTCCTGCATCGCTCAGTGACATATGCGTGCTGTGATCACATATGGATCCGAACGTACTGCACACTCCACACAGCGGGTTACCTCTGCACAGTGTCGCTGAGCTGAGCTCGCTGGAAGTCGGCTGCCAGCCGCCGTATTTCCTCCCAGTCGGCAGACATTTCTGTGCTGCTGAAATCCGAGCGTCCCTCGGTTCACAGACACGTCATATCACCGGCTACGGATAGCTGGTTAGGTCAAGAATCCTCGGGAGATCAGTTCGCGTTCTGCTGTGCAGCCTGGAGATAAGGCTGCTGGGAGCAAACTTTGTACAGGGCACCTGCTGCTGCTGTTTGCTTCCATAAACGTATAATGCATGAGCTTTATTCCATAAGGCATATTGGGAACGCAAGTCAAACCCGCACAAAAGCGGGCGCTATAACATGCACAAAATGCACACCAAATAATGTTGACATTACTAGTTAATTGCACAGCAAACGTGGCAGAGCAATCGCGCTTTCTTCCTGCACGTTAAAACACCCACAAATGCGCAGGGGAAAAAACGTTTCATGTCCCACAATTTGCTACACGCACTACTTTCCCGCATTCCAGGACGTTTGTTTGACGCGCGCCCCTATGGATTTCAGTGGGTTCTTGGTAGGGATGTTCCGATACCATTTTTTCAAGACCAAGTACAAGTACTTACCTTCAGATAATTGTCGATACCGATTACCGATAGTTTTTCTCAACCGCCTCCCGGCCGTTGTAGTTCACCACCTCCCGGCCGGCTGTTGTAAAGATAATGGCCGGACGGGAGCTTCCTGGATCTGACAGCGCACGAGTGGGAAAGTGGCAAAATGTGAAAACATGCAGCGATGGCTGTTTACATATAAGCGATGTGCCGGCTATATATCATCACTTACGCTTCAGAAGCTGGAGAGAAGCTGATGAAGCAGATCTCTACTTCATCAGCTTCTTTGGGGGTTCCTAGGTGACATTAGGGGTCTTGGAAACCTCACATTCTCTTTGCTATCACATAGGGGGGTTTCTTAGTTTCCTATGTGATAACAATAAAGTTAAGTGGGAAAAAAAAATGAAAGTCACACATGAAAAAGAATTAAAAAAACACAAACATATTCTAAAAGTCGCCATACATAGACGCATGCAGACATGCGTCAGGTGCACATATGTGCAAAAACGACGATTGCACCCATTATGCGGCACATGTTACATATCGCTATGAACGTCGCAGTGAGAGGAATAATTCTAGGGCCATCAATCACTGATGACTGATGAATAACACTAAACTGATGAGCGGTAAAAGCTTTTAAAGCATCACCTATGGTCAATTTTGGGTATGGTAGTTCTTGGGGTGTGCGCAATTTTAAAGCTTGACATGTTTGGCGTCTATTTACCTGACGTGACCTCGTCTTTTATATGTTACCAAAAAATTGGGTAATAAATGTATTATAACATAATGTAAAAAAAACTTTAAAAAAGGGTAATTTTTCCTTAATATAGTAAAAAATGAAACCCCCCATTGGTGATTAAATACCACCAAAAGAAAGCTCTATCTGTCCCAAAAAAATTGTATACAATTCATTTCAGTACAGCGTTGCATGACTGAATAAATGTCAGTCAAAGAACTGCAGCACTGAATACTGAAAAATGGCCTTGCTAGGAAGGGGGTCTAAACACCTGGTCAGCAAGTAGTTAAAGGGATGTGAGATTTTCAATCTAAAACAATACAGACTAATAATTTCATGGCAGTTACTTTATAATTATGAAGAACTGTAACTCAATCCATGATGATTCTGCAATGGAGAATGGCAACCAGCAATAGAGGACTACAGATCCCATCGATCCATTATTATACAACAATGGAGAATGCCAACCAGCCATCATGGATTGATGAGATTTGTAGTCCTCTATAGCCGGTTGCCATTCTCTATTGCTGTATAATCATTGATAATATAGCAATGGTTAATGGCAACATTTGGGTCTCACCAGGGCTGTGTTTGGGTCTCACCAGGGCTGTGTTTGGGTCTCACCAGGGCTGCGTGCAGATCTCTCCAGGGCTCTGCAGGTGGGTGCCGGGCTTGCCAGGCCTCCGTGGTGGGTGCCAGGCTCTCCAGGGCTGAACAGGTGGGTGCCGCACTTGTGCCGGGCTCCAGGGCTGTACGTTCGGTGTGGGGCTGTCCTTTGCAGTGCCGGTCTCGGGAAGGAGCAGGAGGTGATGTGCGCCAGACTGGTACTGTCAAAGACAGCTGCCTGAGGACCCCAGCAAGCACGGGATCTCTGGCAGCCGCTTGTGTTTAAAAATTGAAAGGGCCTGTATCAGCCTTTAGTAAAAAAAAGAAAAAATATTTTTTGGTGTGTTATTTTAAATGAAAGGTTGGTTATTGTATTATATTTGCTTAAAGTTTTACAATTTATTTTATTTTAAACCCATGAAACTAATTAAAATGTCTAATATAATACATACAATTTTAAAACATTTTTGGGGAAAAGTCATATTCCATTTCGACCTGACAAATTTTGCTGCAGGAGGTGAGTTGCAGTGCCATTCATTTCAATGGATCCCAAATGCACCTCCCATCCGCAGTGTGATCATCTGCACTAGAACGCGCGGTACTGCAATGCCCTGCCTTCCAGTGCAGTGCGATTTCAAAACAATTTGCATACCGTGTGCAGTAAACTTTATGTCTGTAGCGCCACATTTGTGTATTTTATTTTACGGTAATATTTTTTACAAATTTGATTCGATTAATCAAAATTAATAATTGGCTAACTAATCGATTATTAAAATAATCGTTAGCTGCAGCCCTAGAAAGAGGCTTTATTTTAAATCTGGGATTATGTAAATCAAGATTTGCCCAACCTGGTGATGACCTGACCTTTGTATTCAATTCACTTTGTCAGTTGTTTTTAGTTGTTGGGTGGTGAAACTGCGTTCTCTCTCTCTCTCTCTCTCTCTCACTCGCTCTTTCGCTCTCTCTCCCCCTTTCTCTGTTTTTCTCTCTCCCCTGTTACATTCAGTTCCACTATGGCGATGCTGCACTCTTTGTTGGCTGTGCTGCTGCTGATAGCTGTGGCTGTTAAAGCCCATGGAGTTTTGAAGGATGTGGATGCACATGATAAAGGAGCACAGAAGGCGCTGGAATTCGCCCTTCATGAATATAATCTGGACAGTAACGACGTATATGTTAATCGAGTGTCCAAGATACACAGGGTCCAGAAACAGGTCAGTGCGGGACAGTGAGTAAGGATTTTTCAATTACCGAGAGTCGGTGATGTGTGACAAATTACCATGTACAGGGATACCATATACTTTCAATAAAAATAGCTCAGTGCTTTAATAATAAGCTTTTTCTGGCAGGCATCTCTTATCTTTTCTTCCATTGTTACATCTTCTTTCTGTAAAACGGTGGATGTAATACGTTTGGTTCTGTCTAAGGACTCGTGTAAATAGGCTTTGTCTACAAATGCTGACTTTTACATTCAGACACAGTGCTATTGAAATGCACAGGCCGTGTTTGACCTTGGGTGCAGGGGCCATGTTTGACCTGCTTTTGTCTGGAACGTCTACTGATCTCAGTAGGACCTGATGTCCAAAGAAAGAAAAACCAAAAAAACAAAGTAGGCTAAATCCAGCCTTAGGGTGTTCGAAGTCCTCTTCAATTAACCTAATTTCAAGCTCCTCTATTTTATTTGCCAGACATCCACACTATAATATTTAAAGGAGAACTATGGGGTTAGGGCATTTCCGCATAGTTATCCTAAGGATCACGGGAGAACACAAACTAGCGTTCTCCCGTGACCCAAAGCTCAGTATACCGCGAGCTACAGCTCTCTATATACTGAGACGCCGCAGCCGGAACGGATCCCAACAATGCTGTCTGGATCTGCGTGATTGACAGCTGGCTCTGCCTATCCAGAGGCAGAGCCAGCTGTGCCCGCCCCCTCCCCCGTCCGTTCCGCCAGTCAGCGCTGGAGGATCGGAGTGGGGAGGGAGGGAATCCCTGCAGGAAGCCGTGAGTGACAGTCACAGCTCTCTGCAGGGATAGATCGAGACGTGAGCGAGCGACAGTATGTGTTCGCTCACTTCCCGATCTACTGAGCCGACCTGTGACAGTTTCATTGTCACAGGTCGGCTCAGATTATGAGGCTGAGTGAAAATCACTCGCCTCATAATTCTCCTTTAAGTGAAACACCAGCCAAAAATATTTATTTAGCTTTCAACAGTGTTGGGGAATGGTTAGAACCTGTGTCTGGTTTTCACTGACATCTAAGATCTGGTTGGGGAGGTTTTACATCACTTCCTGTCCTTGTGACAGGGCTGTCAGTGAAGCAGGAAGGTTTTTAACATCTTCAAATGGCACATAGACTAATCTATGAAAAATAAGTGCTTTTATTGATGTAACCCTTTTTGGAGAGTTTCCCCCACTTCCTGTCAAAATCGTTACTGGGACAGGAAGTGAGGAGAAAAGAGCGCTAGAGAGAGCAGTAAAAGCTAACAGATGCTCTAACCCTTTCTGACCCTCTTCGTAAGAACAAAAACGTTTTGCCTATTTTGGGTTTATTTTGTATCTCCAGCGAAGATGTTTTGACAGAGTGAGCAAGGGCTAGGCCGTCTGTGGCCCCTCACTAAACAAAACAAATACCTTTTCTGTCTTTCTGTGAGGCAGAATATGTCTCCCAGTCTAGGAAAACGTCACGCCCAATATCTTCCTAGGCCCTCTGCCACTTGCCACGGTTCTTGTAATGGGCATCACTGGGGTCGTAGAGGTTCCTATGGGCCCTCACCAGGCAGATGAAATCCTCCATATCCAGCATGGATACCCCTAAATCCTCCATTTTCTTCCAGGCCCTCGGCCACTTGCCACGGTTCTTGTAATGGGCATCACTGGGGTCGTAGAGGTTCCTGTGAGCCCTCACCAGGCAGATGAAATCCTCCACATCCAGCAAGGATACCCCTAAATCCGCCATTTTCTTCACAGGCCTGAGGTTGCAAGAAGGAGAGGACCAGTTGTTAGGCACAAAAAAATGTTTTTTTAAATGTTAAACCACTTGCATTGCATGTTTCCAGACACTCCCACTAAGTCTATGGGGACAAAAATTTGTAATTCTGCCTGAGAAAAAGGTAATGTACGGCAGCATGATACTCAAGCGTGACTGGGCACCATTGAACATAATAGGAATCTTCACGCTGAGTGTTGTTACGCTTCAGAAACGTGTGACAAATTACTCAGGTGTGAAGGTGGGCTAACACATAATTTCTTTACAGGGGCTCCTTGTAGACCATTACTGCCTTGTATTGTTAGCTCTTTTTGGGCTCATTTCACACAAGTGTGCACATCCTTACAGCCCAAAAAGAGACCTGCTCCCGGGAGGGACAGGTGCTGCGTGTCACTGCATGTGTGCTCCTATAGGAGGACGCAGCTGCGTGTGGTTAGATTCAGACCCGAACCTGCACATTGGATGCCTTGTGGGAAATGTCTGTGTTTGTACTGTGGAAAGCCCTTTCCGGGGGAACCTTATTTTAAAACCTAATTATACATTGATTTGTGCGGTTGCC